CACACATGTTGGTGTGCTGCTTCCATATGGGCTTTGTTGCTTCTGGGCTAGATAGCCGCTTGTTTACTTTCAAGCCTTTAAGTCCCCAGACGCTATAGATCTCGATAGCAGGGCACCATCAGCCTTTTTCGCCACACTTACTTATGCACACATTCATCTTCAGCGGAAAACACGGTTTTGACTGGATCTTTTCATTGAAAGCACCATAACAAGACTAAAAGCACATACTGCCACCACCCACTGATCCCAAAGACGCTGAAGCACATTTTGTTGGGAATAAGCTGATGTATATGAACAGCAACCCCAGTAGCAATACTTTTGGACTTAGCCTCCTACATTAAGGTGAAGCAAATTCAGAGGGGGTTAATTATCTTTTTGTGGGTTCTCAGACAGCATATCAGCTAGGGTTTGAAATTGATTCTCTGTTTTACGTACTGTGAGCTTTGACAGCTAACGGTTTTAATTTTACTTCATTTGAGCCTCAATTTTGGTATTTTAATGTGATGAACATAGTACCTAGCATGGAGGATTACTGAAGGATTAAATATTTGATTTTAAAGTGTCTGACTTGGAAATGGTAGCTGATACTATTTTCTTTAGTAATTTTAGAAGTGAAAAGGCATTTGATTTAACGCAAAATAATTCTCCTGAGACTATATGCCTTAATTGCTTTTAATTCTAAAATTTGGAAGAAAAGCCACTTATTATTGTATTGATTTGTGTTCCCATTAATACCTAATGGTTTGATTTTTATTATTCCTTTAGACAGCAAGCAAGAATCGTGCCTTGTATTTTGACCCTCTTGTACAACTCTTTGCCTATGTCAGCTGTGGTTTGGCCTGTGACCTCAGTGTGTATTTTGATTCCAAAAATCTGAGTACCATTGGCAAGCTTCCTGAAAATCTGATCAATGAATGGAAAGAATTTTTTTCCCAAGGCATCCACAATCTGCTGTTACCTCTTTTGATGACTGTTACAGGCAAGTGAAAGAAGGATTAATAGCGAGATTCGGGGAAAAGTCTTGAGAATCTCAAACCTGAAATTGGACATTTCAGTCAAACAGCACTGAGCAGTAAAGAGCCAGAGAGGTAGCCTGGCTGCTCAGAAGACCACATATGCTTTGGCTTTACGGAGAAGAATCAAAAGACAGCAAGATAGTCAGTGACCATTGCAAATTAAAATAATAGTGACTCAGATTGCCTGAATAGAGAATGTACAATCTGAACCTCTCTTTTGACTACTTGTGGTTCTTTTTCAAGGATGAAAAAGAAGTCACTAAACAGTTAAGATTGAAATATAGATTGGCTTCAAGTATCTTTTAGGAGTGCTGTAATATGTGTCTCATTTTTTATGCAATTGTATTGATTATAAATCCAGCTATATCACTAACTCCTTTTGGATGTGTTTCTTTTTATCACTGGTAGAAAGCACAGATTCATCTGAAACATCCTTTCAGAATGCAGTGCTGAGGCCCATGTGTGAAGCATTAACATATATGTCAAAGGATCAGCTGCTGAGACACAAACTCCCTGAGAGATTTGTTGCTGGCCAAGAAACAAACATACTGGAACATCTTCAGACTTTGCTAAATACATTGACCCCGTTACTCCTTCACAAAGCTAGACCAGTACAGATTGCTGCTTATCATATGCTCTACAAGTAAGAGTTTTTCACACTGAATTAATGCTATGTTGGTCTAAAAAAAATTGGAATGTCTATTTAGTCCTAATTTTTAATTATTAAGAAAAGGCAGTGAAAAAGGAGAGCAAACGTGGCCGTCCACCTCAATGACAGAGAAGCAAAATTAATTGTTCTTTTAGGTCACTCTGGTCCTTGAAAATACTACTTCTAGGTTGGCCTGGCCAGTTGGTTACATCAGAAAAAAAATCATTATAAAATAAGAGACTCATTACCGAGTAAGTATTGATCATTCTGCTCATGATTTAGCAATGGATAATTGACGCTAGTGTTCTAATTTTTAGATTGATGCCTGAATTACCACAGTATGATCAAGATAATTTAAAGTCATATGGAGATGAGGAAGAAGAGCCTGCCCTGTAAGTTTTTTTTCCCCTTAATAATTTGTTTTATTAAATTTTTATAATTCACTTCATCTTGGAGCCCCGAGACTACACAGTAAGTCTAAATTTTGAATATTTATTAATTCAACAGATAAATTCTTTTACAGGTGATCTGTAAGATGTAAATCAAATCTCGAGTTGATACAAAAAGATTATTTATATCTCTTAATTGTTCCTAAATCATATTTATAGTTTGTTAAAACTCTCTTTAGCTACATGGTTGCCTTGGAAAGATTGTATCAACTTTTAGAGAAAGACTTGTATGGTTAGGTAGACATTCCAGTGAGAGAAGACAACTTAAGTTATGGAAACAGCATATGCAGAGACACTGAGGCATGAATGTTCATGAAGTCACCTGGGAATGTTGAGTTTAACATTTAACATATTTGTTTATTGTCAGTATCTTCCTCCTGTAGAATATTCATTCTTATAAATGTAGGAATTCTTTTTTTTTTTTTTTTAACATTTTATTAGGGGCTCATACAACTGTTATCCCAGTCCATACACACATCAATTGTGTAAAGCGCATTTGTAC